ACTGATCGAATCGAAGCTATGATGGAATACTGGGGGGCTCCCGTTGTCAGAAATGAAATTAAGTCTTAACCTTAGCCCTAAACATTAACTTTTTCTCGTAGACTGTTGACAAGACTTTGTTTCGTTAAGTTACGAGGAAATTAGGTACCATTCTTCGTTCTCGTAACTTTACGATGTTTCTCTAAGAGGAAAGATAAATGTTGATAGTAATGTTAGGACTAATTTTGCTTCTGACAACGCGCACCTGGAAGCTGCCACGGTGACCTGCCGATGATAAGCCCTGGCAAAGGCATGGTGGCTTCATACGGGGTATTTGTGGCTCTATGGCGGCAACACTTTATGAAACAACTGTGGCTCCATTATGGTCTCTGCGGAAAAAATGCCCCGTAGAATATGCTGAGAATGCCACTTGACAAAGGCCACTTTATGATAATCGGAGTTTTTGGAAACTTTCAGATTTTCGCAAATTACCGCTCTAATCTTGAGAGGAAATTGGAGAGGTGCGAGGGAGTGAGAAAGAGACACCGGGAAACAGAATGCATATAGTGACCCTTCATGATCAATCATAATGATAAATATATTGACCTAAAATTAATGCAATTAGAATTAAGTCACTAAAAGCCCAAACAATATTTGTGTCATACATTCTTCAATTATGAATAAGTTTCCCTAAACGCAAACATGCACAACATCAGTGTGTGGTACATTACTCGCACACACGTAACTGTGAATAGAAACCCTGTATAAGAATACTTGCAAAACTATACTAGCCATATAAAATAACGAAATTAGTTAACAAGACTTAATTACTGCACGTTCTATATTTACCTTATAAGGCAATATGCATGCTTATACGTGCGTGCCTGCGTACGTGTGTGTGTGTGTGCGTGCGTGCGTGCGTGCGTGTGTGTGTGTGTGTGTGCGTGTGTGTGTGTGTGTGCGCTCGTGTGTGAACTTGCGTATATGTATTATGTGGATGCATGTGTAGGTGTTTTGACATAGCTGATGGACTGGATGGGTCCCAAACCAGATGAATTACCCGGTCACCATCAGTAACGATATAAGGTGTTCTCAGTAGTGGCGCTAGATACAGTTGCAATTCGCATTCGACTACAAAACCGAGCAAGACATCTCGAGATGACATCAGCGAGTATCCGCAAAGCCAGCGCGATACTTCTCACAGTGACTCGTATTTTCCAGATTTAATGAGAACGTCCTAACTAAGTCAACATCGTTGTCGTCCGATGGCATCTCGTCTACGTACCATCTACGCATCAGATCATATGCACACAGAATCATCGGCGTGTTTCATGATGTACACGTCGTAGCATACATACCACTACCACAACGCAGTACTTCCAACAGTACTGGGGTAACTTACCGTGAGTACAGCGACTATTGGGGGGCGGTGTGGGGACTCGAAGCCTCGACGCACGCAGAGACTGTACCTGAAACAGAGATCATCATCATACCCGTTCATTGAGACATCGCCCAGATGCGCCGCGTGAGACAGCTCCCCCGACAGGACGGCGCACTGGCGAGAATGATCGCGCTTTTCCCCCTCGTTCTTCACCCATCGAAAATACAAATTTACAAAACCCACAGTGATTACAGCTGCCATTAGCGACGGCCACGCAAGACGTTTAGCCGACCCGCCGTTGTGTAACGTCGCATGCGCCTTTGCAAGCCGCATTGTACGTGGCCATTTGCGGAAGAATCCGCTGCCGTTTAGCCAGATCGCGAATCTGGCGTCGTATTCGCCGGCCATTTTTTCGTACGAGAGGGAGAGAACAGAATTGACGCTGACGCTGCCAGCGCCCCTCCCCCCGGTGGCACCTATGCTGCACATGTCTAAAACAGGTCGGAAGAGTGGGTGGCTAGTGGCTACACCTGCACGTTGGGTTCACCAGGGTCATGGGGTAGGGTCACGCTAATCGCCCATCGCTCACGCTTGGGTCGCATTCTATTGAAACGCAGCCCGATCATTCATGGAACCAATGTTATCAAGGCATCTGTACGGCTGAGGCACCTTGATAGATGGACACCTACCCCTAATCCCATACACACGCACATAGACACTCATACATCAAATAAATGTGAAAACTGCCATCTGCGTTCGATCGCTGGTGGGAAATGGCGCCACCGCGGAGGCAGACACTAACGTGGGCGTGACACAGATAATTGAGCTGAAATCCAACCTTTTGTTTTCGTCCTCGGAGGCTTGGCAAACCTCTAACACGTTAAAAGCAACCCAGTGCATCGCTTTGGCAACGAATAACGACGCAGAGCGCGCCGACGGTCGCCATGACTCCCGAGTCGAGTTGACATTCAAATCCGCGTCGATATGCAGTTCTACGGAACATCTGCAACATCAGCATCCGTCAACAAAGTTCCTTCAATACCGAACATCAGACAGGTCATTGCATCGTAGGTGGGCTGAACTCTTAATAATAGAACACGGGGTACTGTCAGTAATGTTGATGTTAATAAGTTCCTCCAAACTCTGAACTCACCTTATGTGGAGTCGTTTCACATTATATTAGGGTTGAAACAACTGGTTTCGATTCCGGTTACCAACTGTTGGCGTTAGGCTGATAGGGTCTATGTCCCCCAGGCTACTATCGGAAGGTACCCGGGGTACGGTTCGATATATCAGAAAGTACCTCGGGGTAGGTCTATACGATATGTCGCTGCGTACCCTGCATTGTCCCACCGTACCCTGACTTTCAGCCAATTGATCATGAAAATCATGCAGAACCATATGCATATGGTTTTGCAGAAAAATGATAATTTTTAGTGGATGACAACATTTTACGCTTCTCCCCTATACTGGTGGGTGAGGTATTACCGCCGCAAGGTATTGCCGCCGTCACGTGCATATTGGTTGTTTTTTTATTTGATGTTAATATCAAACCATTTTTATTTATGGTAATGATAGTATTACAATGATAACATTAAACTACGAGACTACTAGCTTTTATTAATTTTTCTAAATTATTCATATTAATTGATGATTCATCAATTAATCTCAATATTTTTGCTGTTTCACAGACTGTGTGTGAAAGTCAGAGTACGGTGGGGCAATGCAGGGTACGCAGTGACATATCGTATAGTACCCCGAGGTACTTTCCGATATATCGAACCGTACCCAGGGTACCCTCCGATAGTACCCTGGGGGACATAGACCCTATCAGCTGAAGTTAGTCTTTGTCCACCATGTTTTCTTGAGATGCAGTTCGTGCAAGCTAGTAAAAAGTTACGGCTTGCAATACAAGAACACAGCTGCGCAACAAACAGCAATTAAATAATATTCTAATATAAATAAGGTACAAATAAAATATTCTGATACGTCTAATGCGTTTTTCCACTTGTAGTTTTATATTTATGTGAGCATAACTGAACATTTTGCGATATACGAGATACGGTGATATGATATACGTAGTATATATTCTGGTTGTTTATTGGCAAAAACTGCTTCATGAAATATAACCACACAACACACTAAAGCACGGTCTTAGCGTGCCCGTCAGCGATTGCTTCCAGCCTAATAAATGACTAGCAGAGTATAGAATTCTATATTTAATCTTACATCTAACATTGCTATACTGACATGTTATTAACAATGAAGCTTTAGCCCATATGTCTGATCTTATAAATTAGAGACATTATTAGCCAATACATAAATCGAACGTTGTATTTACTGTTTTTTCCAAGCAGAAAACTGCCACGCAACATTGCAATTCCATTGCACAAATTAAATTCGGAAAAAAATAGGACAATATGCCGTTACTTATTTGTTTCCACATTGATGTTTGTTAGGAAAGCAACATGGTCAAGAAATCAGCAGTCAACATAGCGTAGTAACACTACCAGCTATAGTGAGGTGACACTTAAGAGATACTCAGTATTATGTTAATGTAACATACGATACTAAAGTAATGCGCACATCCGAAGAAATATTATACTGATTTGATACCTGCACTTAAATTATACAATGCGCCACTCTACTATTACTTTACCCTGCCATAAACCACTTTATTTGGCTACCTGCACAGAAATTCAGCAAAGTGCCATACCATTACTTAGCTACAAGCACAGAAATTCTGCAAAGCGAGTACCACTATTTTGCTGATTGGATACTAATTGAGTAATGCTATGCATTAGCAAAAGCAATATAATCACCAGCACTTTGTAAAGCCGGCGCCCAAAGTCCTCAGTCAGCCCGAGGAACGCCAGTGAGCAACTAGGAACTTACACGAGAAACCGTCATTAATGCACGCTGAAGAAACTCTCCTAGGAACAGTCACGAGAAGTAACCTCAACAAAATCGCCATCTTTATTAGCGATTTTATGTCGCGGTGCGGTATTTTCCCAGTAGTGTTTTCATCTGGAAATTAAATTATAAAAAATCATTCTGATCCTCACTAGAAATTGCACACCATTCGGTTTTGGTTAATATACATGGAAAATATACATGTGGTGAGAAAAATAGACGTGGGTGCTTATTATATTTCCTATGAGTCGTAAGCAGACAGCGTTGCAGCCACTGGAATAATATGCGTGCGATTTTGCACACAAACAAATTCACAATTGTATACGTGTGTGAAACCTACGAATTGCCCCCAGTTATCAAGCAAACTATCAATATCCCATTCTGACCTTATAATGTGCTCTCTTTATTTTATAAAGGTGGTGTAAATAGCTTCTTGAATTACTAAACATATCAGAGGAAAGTTAATGCACTTCCATAATGACCTTCACCAGGGTCTGTGTGCCAGCGTGCGTGTTGAAGGGGGAAATTATACCCACAGAATATTCTCATGAATTGAGCTATTCACAGGCTGTTTTAATCGGGTAGATTTAGTATTATTTACTCGCCTACTTTATTTGTAGAAACTATGTTTGTTTTCTTACTACATCCATATAAAAGCGCCATAATACTAGAAATCATATCAATACGTCTTTGCCGCATGTTAGTACAAAAGGCGATAAAAACAGAATGTGGATTATCCATGTGTGTTTAAATGCACATGTAATTTATTAATAAATGATTTCGCTGGTATTTGCATTGAATAGAGATTTCAAAGCACAAATATTTCTAACAAAATTCACTATTATTACCAAGAGAAAATTCATTTGAATGTTTAAGTAAGCAAGTAATGCTTACGAGTATAAAATCCATCAATAAATAAAGGTATATACAGCTATAAAAGACAGAAATAAGAATATTCCATTCTTCTAATAAATGATGTGACGTACAAAATCAGTAGTAAAGTATAAAATACTGGGGGGGGGGAGCACGCGTTTATATTGGGAAGTGCATATTTGCATTTCAAGACCTTGGACTCCTTATGCAACGCCATCCACTCTTCCCTGGTATACACAATGATATGAAATCCCACCCAAATATTACCTCAAAATATAAGAAACCGCCTATGAAACGTGGTCTATTTTCACAGCTACACCTGAATTGTGCGTTGCAAGTCAGCGCCTATCCACTCTCCAGTTAATCGTTATAGAGGCACTAGCGATGTCAGAGCGCCATCTAGGGACGGAATATTTATTAATCACTACTATATTACCAGTAGCCTACGTATACAAATAGGTTCATTATATTACCCTACATTTCTCTCGTATATTAGAACGAGGTAATACTCTATAAATCTAAAGCTACAGACTTGGAAAGGCAACAAAAAGTATGCAATTGCTCCCCTGAACTTGTTAATTTACTTGTTCAAGTTTGGCAATGAACATAAATGAACCAATTCTAGCATACCTAAGTATATATACTAAAATATATGATTTTGTTTTACTTCAATCATTTTAGGATTTTCACTGCAAACCCAAAACCTTCACAACAACACAGATGAGATTGAAGTGTAGAATACTTCAAACCTATGGACTAGACACATGTCTTTGAACTTTGGCCCTGAATGCCCTCAAGTATTGAAGACAATCAAAAGCAAATTGTACATTTAATGTACGTGGAAACCGTGCATCGAACACACTTCATTGTGTCATCATAAACAGCGCTGGTTGCTAGCTCATGCATCACTAGTAGTCTTCTTGCCTTTCTTCTTTTTCCTACATGCAAAAATAATTCATGTTCAGCAGAACCGCATCTGTTTTTGATTTTGGCTTGAATTGATGAATTTATTATTTCATCAATCACTTATTACATTTATTTTACAATGGATCTCAGGACGCAGTAGGATATATATAACGAACAAGGATGCACAGTAATGCACTAGGATGAATAAAGATGGTCAATTATGCACTGGAATGAATGATGACTACCACAACATGCATGGCATGAACACATTCTTTGGATACATCGGCTGGGTTAAAATCAGGAAGAAATTTAAACGCGTGGGCATGTCATTTGATTATGAATCTAATATTTCAATCACTTCTGATTTATGCAGCTGACCATTATTTTTACTGGATCAGCCACCCAGATACCACCTAGCTCAATCTCAAAAGGTCGATTAAAAGAGATAGATACATAGATTATTGATTATTGATTGGAGTACTTCTACATCCATTGTATACTATCAGAGGCCTGTTCTCAGACACAAAAATTTATGGCTATCGTAAGATTAAACAGTGCAACTAACTGCTTAAGAACATTTGGCACTACAAAGGTTATGACAGTTTAAACTTGTGATGTCATAATTATTTATAATGATATTATGTTTCAGACTACAGATCACTTGATAATTAACATCTATATGGGTTGGCAATAATTAGATCAGCTCTAGTGATCAAGAAAACTAGGATCCGTGTGAAAAACAACACGTCTTGCGCTAACTACGTGAGTACTCCGACACCTTCACATGTTACCCTACCTCGCAGATGGCACAGGGGTTGATGTCTGCTCCTCCTCATGTTCTAGCTCAGACGCTGACACGAACTTCAGTTCACCTTTCTCCACCAGCGCACGTGTCTGTAAGGTAGCATCAACGTGGGTACTACATGGTTGATCGCTTTATTTGTGTGCTGCATTTCATTTCAGATGCAGGCTTAGTAGTTTCAAAGCATTGTGTGCTCTCAACATGAACAGCAACGTTTCGCCTCACACATTTAAGGACATTAGTAAGACATCTTACCTTTTTTATCGGCGTGTCGCTCCTCTCTTCCTTAGGATCTGCATCCGCTAAACGAAATAACATTCACACGTATCATCTAGCTTGTGCAGGAAGTGTAAACAAAATACATACTGCAAATCTTCAGCGAACACTAAAAACTCTGCCATTATAGAAGATGTACAGCAAAAGACAACAGAGGAGCAGTGAGCAAAGTAGTCAAGCCACAGCTTTTACATTACAGTAATGTAATACATGTTACACATTTACTTGTACATGTAATCACATGCTGGGTATGAAGAACTGCGCAGCATACACCTGGAAGCAACAGCTAACCACCTCGCCGATCGCTTTGCGGAGAGACATCGCATTCGCTTCGCCTGTACGGTCAGTCGACTTACACTGCTCTGCGACATAGTTTGCTGGGAAGAATCCCTGCTGTCCGTCCACCGTCTCTCCCATCCACCAGTTCTCAGTATCCCTGTAGAGCACGGTGACGATGTCACCACACGCTAGGTCCAACTCATCTGATCGCTGAGCTTTGTAGTCGTACAGCGCAACGACCTGATACAACATACCAGATGACAGAGTATAATACCACACTGCAGCAAGGCGGCCACCATCCTCTGCATGTACTTGGTATCACAAAGCAGGTGCTTCCCTGAGGGGGTACAGACTGAGGTATGACACCTACTCAGTTTTATAAAGTAGGTGGTTTAATTCGAAGGTAGCTACAGCCAGATCTCTGATGCCTATATCGTGTTATGAAGTTATTGTAGTTTCTTGTTATAAAAGTCTACTTTATTAATTTTTTCATCATTGCCATCATACAATGATCACATGATAAATACATGAGATAAAGGAATATCATTTATAAATTTCAACATTAACCACTATACTTAATGAATACCTTATATATTACATAAATACAATAGTGACATACCTGTGGGTAACTGCCAGATTGCTTTACCTGTAAGAATCAAACATGTGTTGATCACAAACATATATAGGTGTATAGTGTAAAATTATTATAGTAGATGTGAAATACAATGTTTATGTAACCCAACTATAACATATGAACAGTTACTTGCAACGACTAAGTCTAGCAAGGGTTTATTTATTTTCAACTGAAAATGCAATCATTTTACTGCTTACTGTTATATCATTACAAAACTGATTTTATTATCTTATACATCAGATATTATGCATGCGATAACATTATACTGCTATCACTATCATATAGCAACTAGTGTCTATGGTAGTTAACTGAACATGTGGCATACTAGCAATGCCAGCTTACCATCTCTATTCCTGAGATTCTTGGCGGGCCAGGTTGACCAACTACAAAATAAAGAATCAGTTGTGGGTAATACGAAAGTGGTTCGATTTATTGATTAACTAAATTTAATAACATTCGTCACAATATGTAACTGTAGTAAGCATGAGTACTATATTTTAATGTGTTTTGTACTAAAACTGTGGTGATATGCTTGACCACAACAGAGTGGTGATGTGGCACCACGAGATAGATAGCTAGAAGGTAGATAGCTAGAAGCAACTACACTCGTTCACCAAGAGTGTGCAGTCTGTGTCATTATAAACACGAATTAAAATGCGAAATATCCTACACCCAACCAGAAGCAGACTACTTAGACCAGACGATCCGCATGTATAGCTAACAGCAGCAGCTGCAGCTATGTCATCACCTTTAAGTGCGGGAGAGAGAGAGAGAGAGAGAGAGAGAGAGAGAGGAAACGCGCCTGTGTTTAGTCTATATTCCCCGACCTTTGAGCCTATGTACATGTGTATAAACTGGCACCCATACAGATTTGCAGATGCAGCTGTTGGCAGATTCATAGCGCATTTGAAATAAATACTCGACTCAAGAACGCTCACGGAAAGTGACAGCATGAGTCGGATGCATGAACGCTATCCAAACATATCCGTCTATAAAATAGTTTCGTTACATTTACAGCTCAAAATAATTTCAATGCGCAGAATACTTGCACGAAACCCTCACGTGTGGTCTGTATGCTTACAATGTTGATAATCGTAAACACCCCCTATCGCACCTTTGCTGAACTGTGGTCGCTGGCTGCCGCCGCCACCGATGTCCTGCCTTGCGTAGAGCCGCTGAGATGCGAACAGCTGATGCTGGGCTGCCGTGTCATCCGTCATCCTCGCATGCGGTGAAAGCGCAGATGGACTCTGCAAAAACAATGGTTGACATCGACCAAAGATCACAAGTAACCTCTAACTTCCTTATCTATATTATAAGTTTGTAGTCTTTGTGATGCATATGATATCAGTTATGGAGCAGTGAACCGCATTGTTTTCATCACAGGCAGTTACATGGATATGTTGTTCAGGTTTTTGTGTGATTTTTGGAATGGTAGCAGGTGGTTTACCAATTTACGTATAACGCTATGTGTCGCTACCATACACGCACTGACAGGGAAAATTTATCCTCTCCTCCCAATTTGCCCTCATCGATTGTTGCCTAGATCCATTACAACAACCCAATGCCTGTCCATTGGATGGGCACTTTGCTAGTGTTACCATTAAGAGTTTTACATATTGCATTTTCCGTGCCAAAACAGTGCTAGCACTAATTACAGGGACGTCATCACACTAATAAGGCACACTCATTTGTGGCACATGCCCCACAGCTCAACGCTACATACGTGTGTGGAGAGTGCCGAGAGGTACTGCGACTGGTCAAACGTCGATCCCCAGAAGGTGGACTGCTGCTGGCGCTGCGTGGCGGCCGTCGTGTCTGGCAGAAGGGACTGAAGCATGGTGCCGCTGAGCGATGCGTTGAACGAGTCGGTGAGGTCGATGTTATGCTGGAAGGCCTGAAGCAACAACACGACAGCGTCAGACGAGAAGACGTTCCCTCTTTTTCGACCAGCAAGGAAAGGATTCATGGATGGCTCTCCCAGGACGTCAGAACATGCCGCCGCCGACTAACAACCACTGTATGGGTTCTCGTGAAGGGGAGCCAACTAGACGTGATGCGGCCCCCGGTGCGCGCGAACCGGCAACGCCGCACCCCGAGAGCAAACAACGCCGCCCCTTCGACCACCTTTAACAGCTTCCCCATATCGGGCATGTGAAACGCTCTTCGCGAAAACGGGGCCCCCGGCGACGGCGATTTAGCGCTGGACGGACAGAGGCAAGCTCCAAACGGTATATAAAGTATGTTTGGCATTCGCGTGCATCTAAGATCAGGTATTTCTCAAGCACGGCAAATTATTCGGAGTTTGGGAAGCCGCGTATTTACATCAAACACCGGGTCTGTTTAGATACCGTATTTCTTGGACCGCGCATTTTGCCTCGTGTGAACGCTAAATACCGAATTTCTTGCTACGTGTGAACGCGGCTTATATTATAGATTTGAAAACAGATGGTATAGTAAGCAGAGACTTGCACTTCAGCCTCCTTCTAGCAGTTCTGGGTAGGGGAGGGTTAGGGTGGTTACGAGTAGAGTAAGCTCAACCACAAACATAATCGTAACCCATAAAATTTCAGATGCTAAGGAGTCTACCACCAAGCTCTAGAAATGTGTAGTCGAGCTGTAACTACGAGCCTAACAGAGCGAGCCACGAATGCTTACAGAGACAGATCGCAGTTTCTTCAGCACGCGGTCCATGCGCACCACGGTCGAGCCTGGCTTCGGCGACGCTTCCTCCCTCATCGTTTTTGCAGCATCCGGCGCATCTTGGGTGGGAGTACTGGGTCGCGGTGTGCCATTAACTCGATGGAACATCATGCCCACCTGTGCGACTGTGCAGAAAGTAGAGACGGGGGATATAGTATCATTAATGGACGAACATTGATGATGAGGCTGGCTCGAGACGAAAACTCTTCTGAAGTCACGAAAATATTAGTACTGGTAGCTTTCACGTAAAATAACCTTCATAGAGTAGAAACATGGTAAAATCCTATGTTGAGCGTTTTTGATAAAAAAAAACATTTTCGTCGTCGAACAATAACTACAACGTTTGCGTGATACTATTATGACCTATGCCATTGTCTACACCGCCCGCTGCCACCGACTTCACACATGGTCGCAGTGTCATTCTTCATACAAGGCTCACCTTTGTGGTCATACTTGTAGACGAGAATGGGGTGGCCCTGTTTGAAGGAGCAGAAGGCAACAATGTGATCATGCGGATGATAACGCACGTCAGCTACAGTGTGCTTGTATGGCAGCTCGGAATACACTGCCACATGGTCACCTATAACATACAAAGTGCCGCCAAGGCAGGTTAATTTAGGTCAATTATAGATTAGGTCCTTACATTCATGGCACAGGTAAGTGGTATATTCATTGATATAGGGATACTACTGTGACTGGCTGACTGACTCCACCTGTGGCCTGATGTCTACTCTGCCTCATCACACTGCATGTGTTACAGTTGCTTCCATCTTCAATTCCGTCATCTAGACAGTCTCATAACAAATTTCTCTACTTGAGATCTCGGGCAAGATTTATCAGCATGGCATAGACTTTCACATGTGGGCTATAATGTGCCACAGTGAGCCAGATAGGCAAGCAGCCCAAGCAGCTTAAGGATACTCTCAACCTTTTGCATGGGTATTGCTCTAATGAAGATTAAACGTTTATCTCTATGCTCAAGGAAAAAAATTGTCATGAAATTTCCAGCACCTAATTATGTTACCACATAAATTTTGAATTTTTATGTAAAAATGGTATTTTGGATATTTCTCAATTACCAGAACGAGTGAGGATACAAAATTTTCGCCACATGTTAAGCACAATATATACCAAAATAGCGCATCAGGATTTTTCTTTAAGTTTCATATTTACAGAGAAAAATTAAAAAAAACTGCCTAAAATTCAAGTCGCACGTTTAAATTTAAAATGTTTGCAAATAAAGAGACATAACTCATAAAATACGGCACTTAATAACAATCCCTGAGCGCTTTTTTACAGCAATATGTTACCATTAAAACGAGTGTAAAATTAAATTATTCCGAGTTGTAATCACAGAGAAATATCCATTTATACATCGACTACTAAGTCAGAAATTGGAACGGAGAAATCAGCGTTTTTCTGACGTCAGCCGCGGCTCACTACACATGTACGCAAAACGCTCTGACAGTTCACATGTAACGTTATATGGAGAAATGAGCATGTACACAGGTGGCACATAGTGTTAGCTATCGAATAAAGTTGAAAATGAAAAATCGGTAAAAAATTTTCAGTATCCTTAAGAAATCATAAAGCATGCATGTTAGATACATTTTAGATCTGTTATATCATGATTTATGATTGGTAGGTACTCGTTTATTTGTTGAATACTGTAAACCACCTTTCATCAAATACCGACTTCAAACATTGATGCGATTTTGAACAGTAAAACAAGCTACCAAAACGCTTACCATAGTGTCATGTAATGTCTTCGATAAACAGTGAGGGGAATAGAGATAGAGAGAGGGAGCAAAACGGAAAGAGTCATACAGACACACATAAAGCAGCAAAATGAGTCTCTTCTCGAGAGTATATATCGGGTGTATTTGTGTGTGTGTGTGTGTGTGTGTGTGTGTGTGTGTGTGTGTGTGTGTGTGTGTGTGTGTGTGTGTGTGTGTGTGTGTGTGTGTGTGTGTGTGTGTGTGTGAGTGTGTGTGTATGTGTGTGTGTTGGTCTCCTATATTAGCTCAAAATGAAGAGTTTTATAATATCGGTAGAGCCTCTGTTACTCAGCGACGACGACTATATATGAATATAGTAGTGCATGCATATTCTAATCCTGCTGCAGTCATATAATCGACGTAGGACGCATAGCATCCGTTCCGTCACATCTTATTCTGTATCCTATAAGAGGTCACTGTGGTTAAAGGTTACATATTATCCCAATTCAAGATGCGCCAAAATGCGAATATAACGAGTGTAACGTCTGCATAACTAGGTTCAATCTTATAGTTAGCCTGTCAGATAATGCTGCAGAATGAAATGCCGGAAGAAAGCTCGGCGATTTTCTCTCACACAACTTAAGTTTCGCGTGTCACCGTTCGTGACCCCAATCTAAGTCCAAACCATAACATTGTTCACGGGGCAATCAGATGCATAATTCCGCTATTAACACGTCATCCGTAGCAGAAATGAATCCTATATCACTCACAGAGGATTTGTGTCGCATGAGATATGGCGATGAACGCGTGCATCGGGCATCACTGTTCCGCGGCCCCGCCTCAGCGGAAACAAAACCGATATTGAGAGACGCATGCGCAGACGTTGCAGCTTCATCATGCGTCACTTGTATGTAGATTACAGGCGACAGCAGGACGGGCCATACATGTCGACGGTCCGTCGTCATTCGCGCTAAAATGACTCGGATTCGGAGCTAAAATAACACGTGGAATTCTTCGGGGCTGTTGCACGTGGTTGTTCCTGTCTCCATGCGGCTGTAACACAGCGTATAGCCGAACGACGAACGCAGCGGGAGCGATTAAACTATAGTTATAGGCAGAGACGAATAGAACCAGGAGGAGAAAGAAAGGGAAGAGAGGTGTAGAGGGTCAGACAGATATATAGGTATAGACAGGCACACATACACACGCGTGAACACACACACACACACACACACACACACACACACACACACACACACACACACACACACACACACACACACACACACACACACACACACACACACACACACACACACACACACACACACACACACACAC